GCTCCTGGACCAAAAACCTCCTTGGCTTTGAGTGATAGCAAATTTACACTCTTTCCTGTAGTTTTTCATGTTTGTCTGCTAACACTCACTAAGTAATAGCTGATTGGTAGTAAAACCGGAAATGGAGAACCAATACAGTCACAAGGAAGTTTATGCTTGTGATAGTTGGGTCACTAGGGAAAGATATGGGTCACTGACCATCTTTAGGCCAGTGCCAACAGCTGCCATCAGCTTCCAGCAACCACTTGCAACTGGCGAGGTAGTTCTTGTTTTTTCCTCATTGCATCCTGCCAAATGACCATTGACCAGCTTTGATTCTACACTGTCATTATATTTGTCATGCCCAAAATGGCTGACATGTTTATGTCAAATGGTTGGCGCTCACATGTCTGCAAAAGCTCTATATAAACAAAAGGTTTTCTGCAGCCACAGGGCTCACCCCCTGGTGGCCACTGAAAACACTGCAGGTTTAAGGGACTTTAGTGTTGGCTTCAGTTTTCAGAAATAGTAGGTTTGTGCTTCGTTTATACTGTGCATGACTTTTTCCAGTAAATCATATTCGGCCAAATGGCAGAAGAAACAAAAGTTAGTATTGTCAGTGCATTCAAACAACTCTGTGACACTTTTCTTCTGGCTAATTAAAAGTAAAAGTACTTTGCCTTTTAGTTTAGACAAGTGGCTAGCGTAGAAAATTACTAGTAAATAAGGACTAAATAAAACAAATGTTATTTATATTGAGACTGTTACAAAAAAACATTTTAACGGTTCATATATCATGTAAGCTTGCCGTCTACAAGCAATACAAAGGTGGTGTTGTGAGCCAGATAGCTAAATAAAAAGCCAGTTAGCTGCACAGCATGTAGGCAAGCTAATGCTGACAGTTTTGTCACCAGATTGACTTTGTTGTCATTACAGTCTACTTTCATATAGGTATTCGATGGTTTCTTAGTTGCTGGAAAACATACCTTTTTGGAAATGCAGGTAACAAATCTGTCATTAACCCCTGATGACTTTTTTTGGTCTATATGTTGACTTTAGTTCTTGAACAGCAAACTAGACAAAATCTGTCATCTAAACTAAAAGACCCACTTTATTGCTTTTGAATCACAGTGTTCATCTGATTGCTCAAAATATTGACATTTTAAATGTTTGAAATTCATTAATGAGTTATTGTAGAAATATTAGTAAAATATTAGCAAAAATGACGATAAAACACACAGCTGCTGAGTAGATTATCAACACTGGCGATGCTGAAAATTTCAAGAGAAGTAAGATATACCACACATCAGGACAAACAGATGTTGGCAATCAGAATTCTGGAGTGCACCTTTATTCATATACAGGCTTATAATATTATAAGTAATATATTTTTTTATGAAGTATTGCCTCATTTATTGCTAGTTTACAACATCTCTTTTCTTTTATCGCGACACTGTTTCAGTTGGGTGATATACAGAATTCAGTTTTTGGCTTCACACTAAGTAAACACTCCAGGAAGCATCATTGTTTGCCACTTCTCATTTCGAGGATGAAAATGGTCCTTTCAGATCATCTGTCAAACATCACTGTCTTTGATAAAAACCTCATAGTGTTCACATGGTCAGAAACTGGTCAAAACCCTCCAAAAACACGGTCACATTATCATTAAAGAACCTCTTTTCTCTTACAGCTTGACCAGCCCACTTCAAGCTGACCCTGCTCCATCTAGTAATTACAGTTAACGCAGAGAGCTTCTGAAGTGCATTACACTGACAATACAAACTGAGACAACCAGGGTTGCTTTTTAAGTGATCAATAAAAATTAAGAGTCATTGATTTTGTGGAAACCTTTACTTTTGTTCTGTTTGTTCCCCTCTCTGAAGGTGTTTGGAGTAAAATCTTATATATATATATATATATATATATATATATATATATATATATATATATATATATATATATATATATATATATACACACACACACATAGACAAAGGGATATATTTTTGACGTCGATGCTGTGAAATCTCTAGGGAACACATTACTTCAAGCACAGAAAGAAAGATAAAAAGCATTTCAAACATTTAAAAGTATATTTTGTTATGAACATACATAAAGAGTACAAGTACCCAAATGGTAGTTAAACATCTGTCAACAAAACTTTCTTTCTACAGAAACTCAATTTTATATTGCCATGTATCAGGGGAGCTATTCATAAACCACATTTACTTATCAGCTTAGCCAATCAAACATGAATGTTTACATCATCATATTCACACAACAGCCAAGGCGTTAATCGTCCTCCATGACCTCAGGGAACCCTGAAGTGAACGTGGCAGTCGTAACATGTTGCCATTTTAACATATTTAGAAACAACATAAAACATCATATAAATGACTGCAGTTAAACAATAAAGCCTCTTAAGTATCTCTGTGGAGATGCAAGCAGAATGAGGTGTGTGATCGGTGCTGGTTGTCTGTTTGTCAGTAAGATTACGTAAAAACGACCAAGCTAAATTTCATGAAACTTACAGAAGAGGTGGAGCATAGCCAAAGGAAGAAACCATAAAATGTTGGCACTGCTTCAGTTCACTTTCTTTAAAGTGGACTTGGTAGAGGATGTGCTCTGCACGTCCCTTCATTGTTCAAATGTGTAAGTAAGCATAAGAATAGGTATCTGACTACCGATGCTTTTCAATCTTTTCCACAACGAGTACAGTACTGCAGAGTCCCTTAAATTCAAGTGTTTTTGTCTGTCATTCAGTTTGATTAAATTACCTCAGAGTTGCTGAGATTCAATCAAACTTTAATATTGTCTCTAAACTACTGCCAATTGGGCCAGTAACATTATATTTAATTTCCTGTGGTATTTCTCAGCCTAAAAATGTCAGTGCAGGTGACAAACATGGCAGCAGATCAACAGAAACCATCAGTCAGGGATAAAAAAAAGTCAAGAAAGAGCTGCCTCTCTAGTTTACTAAGTAGCACTGTGATGCTGGGAAACATGTCATCAGTACTAAGTTTAAGTGTTGGAAGTAAAACTGTTATTCTAAGCAATGAGGGGCTTTCTCAGCACCAAATCATGGGTTCACTGCAAGGCGCTGTAAAAATACTGTGTAGATTATTGGATCATTTTCTATCGTTGGTATCGGTGGAGGAGAAGCATCACAAAACCCCTTCTTTGGAGGAGACCAGTGCCAAATGCTTGAGGTGAACAAAGTTATATCAGCATGTTTCTTTTCTGACAGGCAATAGAAAGGTGTCCAAGAAAGAGCTGGAGAATTACTATCCTGCAGGGTATGAGTGAAACTTTGTGGTGGGACTGTTTAAGTCTGGGGGTATTTTCTCAGTGCTTTGCTTAGACATTTTTACAAAGTCTCCTTCATCACGATCAAGTGGTCTATTCTATGATGACATCCTCCGCCTTCTGCTTTGCATTACTGCAAAACATGATTCATATTAGTGCAAATATAAGATACCCCCAAAACAGTTTTAATACAACTTGAAGAGTAGTTGTTAACCTCACTGAACTATTTCTGGAGGAAATCATGTTTGTTAGAATATCCCCAAAATGTATGGCGTCACTTAAGTCTGTCATTAAGCAGAAGGACTTCATCTTTTCACTGAAACTTTTTAACTCACATAATAATAATACTTTTGTACCCCAACTGTATATTTTTATGAACAGTATTCACTTATTTGCTAAAGCGCTGAACATGCACTCTCTAAAAGTATGAATAGAAATCTTCTGGGGCTAATTATATGCTTTAAACTCTAAATAGACCTTAAATTTCTGTAGAGCAGCATTTCCTATATCCTATAGGATCACAAATAGATTTTTTTTCCCATTCTGATAATGCAAAAAAAAGTATACCACTTAAACCATTTTAGAAAAATTAAGAGAATTTCTACATGACTAATTATTACCACTGCAGACGTCATTAAACTCCTTACGTTGCAATCAACTCTTATACATGGAAGTGTGAAATCACTTCCATGTATAAGAGCTGATTGATGAAGTGGCCTCAAAGCTGTGACCTTTATATCCAAACGAAGAAATTCAGTTAATTAGCCGGTATTCGCTGTTTTTTTTTTCTTTTTTTTCTTGAATTAATGCGCTAAATCTACATTTTCCTGTGAGAAAGGAGGTCTGCTGGTCCAGCGTGCAGCATCACATCCTGTCTGACTAAACTGGGTGTAAACTCCGAGTCGAGGCGGGGAGGAACGGCAGAACTGTGAGACTGTATGGGAGGGTCACTAGAGCCACTGGTTTGTCCTGCAGAGTGAATGAAGTTGGATTATTATTATTATTTTGTGTTGAATGCAGAAAAACAGAAGGAAACCCTTGGGAGAACAAAAGAAACATGGTCCCCGGAATTATTTGGATATTTTACCTGTGATGTTTTGGAAAAACTTTCATCGGACGATGTTTTCTCTGCTTTTGGGAGGTTTTCTATGTATGAAGAATATGTTTTTATGTTCCCATAGGCCCTCTCGCCTCATTTTACTGCCTCCAATATTTATACCGTAGCTGGTAATTAACATAATCTTGCATTCGTGTTAATTTCGAGGAATGAAGGACAACACGAAGTCCGGATTGCCACCCAAACGCAGATTTTTTGGCAGTTTATGAATGCAGCTGTAATCACGCAGGGGAGCCTCAAGTACTTAAATGGGTCCATCATGAGAAAGAGACAATCAAGCTCCTTTATGTCTCAAGATCAGCTGCAGTTTCGGCACATTGTCTGTTATGAATAGACCGATCTCCAATTGAGCCTCTTCACTTTGAGATTTTTCGATTTTCGATTATACGGCTATTGAAATTAGGATGTGCCGCTTTTTTCTCTCTCTTAGCTTGGTGGCTTGGTTGCCTTTTTTTTGATTGACAGATGAAATTGACACTCGGGTTGCCTCTTATCAAGCGAAGCATTTCAATCTACCGCTAATTGCAGATATAGTGCCATCCTTTCTTTTCACTGCGTTTGATTGCATGGGAATACAGCCTCCTATCGTGCACAAGAGGAATGATCGATCATATATAGTTTTTCCCCTCCTAATTGCATCAAAATTTCTTTTGTTGCCAGGGTTTAAATGCAGGAGAAACTGTTATTCCTTGTTTTGGACCGGATATAGTGTGGGTTGGGGCAGAGATGCGTAATGCGCAGAGCAAGCTCCATCTCTTCTCCAAATAGGCAGCCTTCAAGATCCGAAAATGGTGAGTCACAAACATCTGGACGAGTTTGGTTTTCAACCTTTTCATTTCTTTGTCTTTCATTCACTCTCCACATTTTATTTATTTATTTTCGTAACGGGATAGAGTTAATTTGGCGGAAGCGCAGGTTTAATCGGGAGGAGATGAAGCGTAAAGACGCCAAAACTCAGTTTATTCACTTTCCTTTTGCGGTTGGAGTTCACACATTGCAACGGTTCTGGGCTGAGATACAGATTCATGTAATTTTATGAAACTTGAAATTGCATGTTGTATACAACATATACGGGTAAATTATTAGTAAATATACACAGAAATAGTTAGCACTCACTAGCTACCAGATCGAGTTTTTTTTTGTTTTGTTTTTGTTTTTTTATATCAATGTTTTTTCCTGGACTGGATCTTCATGTTGGCACCACGTCTCTGGTTAGGATTTACATATTTCACTGACGTTTTATTTTATTTTTAAATCTACAAGATGCAATGAAATTGTATTTGCTATAAAAGTGATTTATTTTATTTTATTTTAATTTATTTTATTTTATTTTGTTGTCTTTGCGCAGTCTAAATCGGAGGTGAAGAAGGAGTCTGGGGAGTCCAGCCCGTCGGAGGCCGCCTGCCTCTGCCCTCCTCCGGCGGCAAAGAACCAGTGCGCGAGCTGCGGCATGGAGATCCAAGACCGCTACCTGCTGAAGGTGCGAAATTAACCCATAATAAATCCTACAGTGAGAAGTAAGATTTGTTTTGTTTTTGTTTTCTTTATTTAAAGCGTAAGCTTCTCTTCACATCCCTGTCTTCAGGAAATCACTGATAATGACAGAAATGATCATCCTGCAAACGTTTCCTGAGGTTGCTGTCCATTTTTCTTCATGTCTGCTTTCTTTTCGAAAAAAATCCCAGTTAGTGTAGAATTCCACAGAAGACTGTACAAAACTGGTCAAATGCTTTTAGTTTTAGTTTTTTCTAACGCTGTTTAATTTCTAGTTGAGCATCTCGATTAAGAGAGCTATCGGAGTGTGATATGTCAGTGTGTGTGTGTGTGTGTGTGTGTGTGTGTGTGTGTGTGTGTGTGTGTGTGTGTGTGTTTGAATCTACTCAGGTCAACAACCTGAACTGGCACCTGGGCTGTCTGGAGTGTTCAGTGTGCAGAGCGTCTCTGCGCCAACACAGCAGCTGCTACGTTAAAAACAAAGAAATCTACTGCAAGCTCGATTATTTCAGGTAAGAGCTCTGATGTTTTACAACGACTGTAGTTTTCCAAAGCTGCCTGTAAGAGTCTTATAAGATTTACTTAACATTTTAATATTTTTCTTAATATTTTCTTACTATTTTTTCTTAGAGCTTTTTCGACCGTTAAAAAAAATAAAAACTCCGATATGTAATTTGATAACAGTCACAGCACTGAAATGTGTTTATTTTTCTATAAGGCCCGAACTGAAACTTATTAATCATCAGTTATCGTTTATATGGGATTTATATTAAATTTGGCAATTATTGAAGAATGATGTATGATAATAAAATAACATTTAGTGAAGTGTAGGTCGCTTTTTTGCCTGGTCGATGAAAATCATTCAGAAAAATTAATACGACGATTTAACTGAGAATATCCAAAAACGTGTATTATTAATGAACAACACGGGGCAATATTTCCTCTTTACGGAAAAGAATACACAAATGAAAAATGTGTATTTCACTAAAAGCATAATGCTGATACAGATTATTTATCTTGCCATTTTTAACAGTACCCGCCTGTCTTATCATATCAATAGAAATCTACACAGCCAGACTCGTTGGGCATCTACATATCTTCAATTATTTGGGGAAAAAATACAAAAAATAATCTTTTAAAATGCTCAAAGGGTGGAAAGTTTTCCCTAAATGTTTTACATTTAATCCTTCATTTAATAGAGTAGAAAAAACTTCCCATAAAACATTATTGTGCTTATGTGATAAATTATTGCACCTAAATTAAATTAAATTCTAGCTGTTTTTACAGCTCATTGATCTTTGCTCTCCAAGTTGATCTTTTGGTCTCACTATGATTTGGCTTCAAAGTCATAATTGGAAAAAAACAAAAAAACAAAAAAACAAAAACAGAATAAATCACCAGTAAAACAATGTTTTTAAAATAACTTCTTGTGTTTCTATCTGCTTACTCTCATAAAACCTAATGACCAAAAGCCTCCAGAGGAAAGAGCTTGATTACCAGCCGGCTGCCCTAAATGTCCCTTTCCATTTCAGTTAGTTTTGGCCTTTTGACTATTTGAAAATTTGATAGAAAACTGGAGAAATGTGCAAAATCAACAGTTTTACTGACTGATTTTGTGGTTCTTTCTAATGGAAGCAGTGGCTATTACTTTAATTTGAACTTCTTTTTATTGACTTTTTTAAAAATTCAATCATCTTGAGATGTAGCAGTCCATTGCCACTGCCTGCTCTCCCACATTCTCTTACCCAGCATCTCACACAAATCACTCAACGATAAAGAGGACACTTATTATCTTACACTCACTTATTCTTCAGTCCAGTTACTATAAACCGTGTGACTCACAGAAATCTCTGCGTAGGACATTTAGTTTCCAGTGGTGGGAGGAATGCCTCCACCTTTCACTTTTCACGGTTCCAGTTTTCCAAAATCTCACTGGCTTTTCTTTCTGCACCAGAAATGTTCATACACTCAGTGAGATCGTGTTGAATCACTGTTTTTGTCCCAGATTGTACCTTTCAGGCTAAATGCAGACTGTATTTGGTGGAGAAGCAATTTGTATTGTGTGTGCAATGTTTAATTACCCCAAACAGAGATGTTGGATCATGCTAAGATAAGTCATGTTCAAAACCTAAAGCTTTATTGAGAGCAGATGATGCAAGATCATATCAGTAATACGACTCCTCTGCACAGATGTTACACAAAACAGTAAAACTAATTATTTCATATTTTGCTGTTCTATTTAGTCCAACAGTTTTTTTAGTCTTTCTGTGTGTTAAAAAATTTAACAAATATATAATAGTTTGGTTGGACACCAGAATATCCCTTCTTGAACTCTGTAACCTGCAGCCAGCCTTCACCTGCTCGTGCCTTTCTTCTTCACAGTAGGTTCGGCACTAAGTGCGCCCAGTGTGGCCGACAGGTGTACGCCAGTGACTGGGTGCGAAGGGCTCGGGGCAGCGTGTACCACCTGGCCTGTTTCGCCTGTTTCTCCTGCAAGAGGCAGCTGTCGACCGGGGAGGAGTTCGGCCTGGTGGAGGGCAGGGTGCTTTGCCGCAGCCACTACGACATCATGCTGGACAATCTACGCAGAGCTGCAGAGAACGGTAACCCAACCAGTGAGAGTTAATCTCACAGACACCGAAGATGAATGTCTGAGGTTGGATTACCAGCTAAAAACTCTGGGGGGAAAGTACCTGTTAGTATTTAGGCACACTAGAAATGCAGATGTTTGATGACTGATGAATGGCAAAACTTTAATCATACATGATGTCCACGTGTGCAATTCTGAGGGATTTGTTTTTTGTTAATGAAACATTTTTGTGGTTTTTGACTGTTGGTCAAACACAACAACATATAAGAAGATTTTTATTCGGTCTGCACGGCTTAATGATGGACCTTTTCTGACTTTTTGTAAACTAAACAATCTGTAATTAGAGAGAAAAATCAGTCTTACTGATAGTTAGTCATCATCGATCCGTTTGTGGAATAAGATCACACAGGTCTTTTGGAGTGTTAATGGGTCCAAACATCGTTAAGAATCGGGCTGCAAGACTGGAGAACCAACATAGCTGACATGCTGGTTCAGTGGTTCAGATTTCGAACATATTTGTCATTAATTAAATAATTTGGAGTAAACCAAGTGGGCTTTTGAGGCCCCTGTGCAGTTATGACTTCACTTGTTTTGTAACCCAGCCTTGGTTTAAGCCTAAGTAACAGAAGGAGTAGTTCAAGCTCTAAAGCTCTTCTACTTCAGTTGCTCTCAAGCTATTCAGCCCCTTTTAACAGTGATATAATGCAAATAATCAGTTGGAAGGAACGTTTTTCTTGATGTTTTTGGATTTTGGATGCACCATTTTAACTGGTGTAAAGTTTCCGAATTGCTTTTGCTTTACTTTGACTATCTAAATTCCCTCCTGTTAATTTGTTGGACTAAAATTAAGTTGCGAGGGTCTGAAAACAGAGCGAGTGTAGAGGTTAAGAGAGCCTGGAAAGAAGGAAGAGACTTTACATGAAAGACAAATAGAGGAATAATTCCTTCATTTCTCACTCTGCTGTGCTCTCAGTGATTCAAACGTATCCCATAGTGGTGTAAATACTTTGGATAGTGCGGCTGCTGGCAAGAAAACATTTTAATTATGTTACTGAGTAAATCTTCCATTTTGTGACACTGTAATAAGATTTTCTTTTCCTTTAACTCGCTTTGTGTAACTTTGCACTCTGATGACTGCATTTTAATTAGTGAATAATTACTGTGTCTATCTTAAGGCACAGGACTGACTCTGGAAGGAGCGCTACCTTCTGATCAGGACTGCCAACCAAAACCAGCCAAGAGGGCACGGACATCATTCACTGCAGAGCAGCTGCAGGTTAGCACCATTCTAATACGTGTGTGTCTACAGCACAGTGTTACTTGGCATTTCATGCCCTCTGTGTCTGGCTTTGTGTGTTTGCAGGTGATGCAGACTCAGTTTGCCCAGGACAACAACCCAGATGCTCAGACGCTGCAGAAACTGGCAGAAATGACGGGACTGAGCAGGCGAGTCATACAGGTAGGCAATGGTCAAATCTGGTGATACACTATATAGTTCAAGTTCTACTTTATATCAAACAAAAAAATTTTTTTTCGTGTAATATTAGCATGATAGAAAAGATCAGAAGGATGGTTTTTCTTTTTCAGGCTCCTGGAAACTGGTTAATAATCACACTTAATAACACAAAGTTGTGATTGTAACTTGATCTTTTGGGATCATAAGTTAAAGAAACTGAGGAATCAGGGTATAATATTATCTGTTTAGTATCCAGAGTTTTAAAAGGGTGATCCCATTATTCTTACATTAAAACTTCACATGCTAACAGACTCATACCTCACAATACTTTTCTTGCAATTTGCTCTGATGATGCTTTGTCTTATTATGATTTAATTTTTATCCAAACGTTTTTGATTTTAAGGGTTTCCAAAAGAAAAAGCAGACATCTTTGAGAAAGCTTTCCTTTCTTTTCACTGTTAGTGCTTTAAAAACATGACCCCTCTGGGAATGATTCCATTTCAACTCTAAGACCAATAAAACACAATTACAATTGTTGTACTTCACAGAGAAGCCAGTTTAAACACTAACACCATTAAGCTGCAGACTAAAACACTCACACATCAAACTGTTATCACCTGGCTTAGGTGAAGAAACTAATGGGGTGTGGTGAGGGGAATCTGAACCCGGGACCTGCTCGGCGTTGTTGTAGTGTTTGATCATATCCACCTGCTTTTTGCACGATCACATTATCAGTAATATTTTTTACAGGTTTGGTTTCAGAACTGCCGGGCGCGACACAAAAAGCAGCCGCCTCAGAGCAGCTTCTCTCAAAGCGCTCCGCTGTCCAGGATGCCCCCGTCGCTGCCAGAAGATATCCACTATTCACCGTTCAGCAGCCCAGACCGACCACACCTGCTGGCCCTGCATGGATACCTGGACAGTGAGTGTCAAGTCTTTAATCGTCTGCTAGTGCCATTTAATGCAGGGCCCTTTTTTCCACTGCTGGCAGGTGAACGTTCAGCTTTCAATGCTTAAATGTGACATTTTACCTCAATCTCTCTCTCTTATATCATAAACTATGCACAGGTGGAAGCCAATTTACTCAAGTCCAGCGCTTAAGTAGGAACTTGAAGCATGTAAGGAGGCTACTTCGTGCTTCCTTTAAGGAAGGAAAGTCATGAAAGATGTAATTATTTTACATGTGAAACAGATTGTGCATTAAAAATAGCAGTTTGCAGTGTTAAACCACCAGTAGTAGTTTAACAGTGATTATCATTAAATTATGTTGCATAGAGGAAGCTGTGTCATGTTATGGATCGATAATATTTGTGTCTCATTAAGTTCAGTTAACACTATTTTTAATGCAGGACTTAATTTTAACTATTACTTATTAGTGATTAGTGCAGTGATTAGTGCAGTGGATTGTTAAATGTGTCCATGTTTGATAAATAATAAGAATAAAAAGAAGAATATTTCTAGTGGTTTACGCAATCACCCACACACAAACAATTCCTGGTCTGAGACCTGGAGGAGACACAAATCACTCTGGGATCGTGCCAAATGAAATATGGGGAGCCATCCACTCTGGTGACCTCTTGTGAATAATGGCAAATTTCATGTTTGCAATATGAGTATTTACATGAGAGATAAACGGTGCTTTATTCTGGGGTGGAAGCTGAAAATTTCATAGAGTGTTGAAGCTCTAAGGGAAGCTTTAAAGTAATATGATGGAAACATTTGACTGCTAACATGGAAATTTGAAGGACTGTGAAGGAGGGATCCCCTGTCTGTTTCGTTTGTTTTTTCTCATCAGAATTTTGGTTTGATTTCTGGCAACAAAACAGAAAAATGTATTCATCAGACTTTCAGTCATTGCTGGTAAATTCCACTTGTGTTCATGGTACTTAAATGTTCACTGGAATCGCTTTGCACACAAGTTTTAAACTAGCTGAGCAAAAAACAAAACAAAACAAAAACAACTTTCTGTTCAAGCACCATGAAATAATATGTGGCTTAGAATATTGTTTATTAAACATTTGTACTAGAAAATAAGTTAAAAGAGAAAACTGTGCTAGTTTTTTAGCATTGTAAAGTAAAGAAAGTTTTTAGCCTGCACATCTTTGTGGTCACAAAGATTACTACATAAAAAATAACAAGGAGCCTAATTTCTTTCGTGTTCAACTGATTTTTAATATGTATTACTCTATTTGTGCACTGAACTTAAAGTGAATGTTAAAAAACACTAGCTATAAGTATTTGCACCCAAAACAGCTTCGCATTTTAAAACAATGACAGACTTAAATGTTTGTTTTGAGTAAAAATAAAAAATAAAATCTTTCTGATTTTGAAATTTCTTTATATTTGCATATGTAAAATAGAAAACAATAGCAATAATAAAGAAATAAAGTTTAGAAATAATAACATTTAGGAATTGTGATGTAAAAACTGAATGCCAAAACTCAAGTCTCAAAACATGTTGTTTACAAAAGTGTAGGTTGGGAGAAGAAAGCTATAAATAACTAATCACTCCTGGGAGGATTTTACAGTTTAAACATCCACCCACCTCATCTCCACCCAGTCCAGGTTCTTCAGACTGACCACAGGACAAATTTGCTGGTGGGTGGAAGTTATTTGTGAACAGCTTGTGCAGAACGTTGCTGGTGACAAAACCAGCAACATTCACTGTACACTATGTAGGTATTTCATAGGTACAGATTACATCCAGTGAAGTTACACTTTTATAAAAATGCTGTAATAGTACAAGGTGTGCTTTATGGGTTTTAACACCCTATATGGGAATATTTTGTGATTTTGAAGTATTCACATTCACTCTGAGCCTTCTTCTCTGTGGTTTATCTCATTATTTTGATGCTTTAAGTATTTATGTCAGTCATCAGTAGCATATTTCTTCATTATAATAACGTGGTCCTGTTGCTTGCCAAGCTCATGTTGTTTCTCTTTCTTTGTGCAGCTCATCCCTTCTCTGTCCTCGCTGCTCCGGGCCACTTGACCCACCCGTCCATCTCTTTACCACAGCTTCCCATCAGCCGCTGACTTGCTGTGTCTACTTTTCCACCGTCGACACTCTGATGATGTTGTGGAGGGAAAAAAATCCTTTGGGACGCCCTGTCAGCAATTTGCTCCGTTTGGAAGTCAAGTCCTCGGGTGACGGCAGGACCGCGTTTTTTAATCAGTCGGGTTTCTCATTGTGAGACTGCTGAGTAAACTGTGGTGAAGCCTTCAGGCTAACACAGGAGTAACTTTTTAATTTTGTCTTGTTTTTTTTTTTTATATAATGCAGAAGACCACTTTTATTTTATTTTCCTTTTTTTTCCACGGGACATGAAACATTGCATCAAGTTGGAAATGGTTTTCACTTTCAAACAAGATATTTTAATTGCTCCAACATGAGCTTAAAGAAAAGAAGAAAAGAGGAGTGGTCTTAGCAGTGTTACAGTAAAACCTCAGCATTTTTCTTTTTTACATTTTGTACTGGTGATGAGCACATTTGCAGCTTTATTGTTGTTTGTTGTTGTATTGTTGTCAGAAAATGGAAACTCTTATTTATTCAGAGCAAAACTTCACTTTTAAAAACGCACTTTTGAATGTGTCTTGAAATGGAAAAATTCAGTTACTGTACATTGTAAATACGGTCATGGTTTAATAAAATGTATCAGATCCCTTATGAAGGTTTTAGTGTTTGAATAATAGACAATCAGGCTGACTTGAAGAGCAAGGAGTAAAGTGTTTATACGTGTGTGTGTGTGTGTGTGTGTGTGTGTGTGTGTGTGTGTGTGTGTGTGTGTGTGTGTGTGTGTGTGTGTGTGGTTGAAAATGCAACAGCTTCTCGAAGATGGAGTAGAAAAATGTGATATTGTATGAGGACACTATTTTTACACTCAAAACCACTAAATCTAAAGGTCACCTGTCAGAGGCTAAGTACCTAAAGTAACCTGTTATTAAGAGCAATATCCCACGACAAACCTGCACATCATCTCCAATTTACATGCTGTACTTTACAGGAATTGTGATCAATCCCACTGCGAAAACGATTATAACCGTTTTCACTCAAAGCGTGGTTATCGATTGGGCAGTTTGTCGGCTTTTATGAGCTCTTCTAGCACAGATTATCTACAGCTGTTATACTGATTGACAGCACTTAAGGCGCCGTGATTGGCAAAGAGTGAATGGGATACTTCGAGCTAAAGCATATCGTTACATGTGTATTTTTCCAAACCGGATCAATGTGGGGGCTTTTTAACAGCAAATCCAAGAGTGCAGCACCTGTGCAATTTCACATTCCTGCTAAGGAAGACCCCTGTCAGGTTCTGTAGAGTTTAGCAAACCACATAAGAGATCACATGTGTGACCATGTGACCAGTATACAGTTAAAAAGAATAGGGTGCGTATTGATTTACTCGAGATTTTTTTATTGTATTAAACCAGTTTTCTGATGTGGTTTATAGATACAGATATATTTAGGATGGCATTAGCACGTTTTCAGATAAGTAGTAAGTTTTGAAGACCTACGGAAATTGAGCTAGCTGTTTACAACCAAAGTGAAAAGCTATTTTCTGTGCATAAAGAATGATCCATTTAAAGGACAAATGCACAGTATATAACTGTTTATTTTGATTCCTAGTTTGCATTTTATCTCATGAAATGAAATAGCTATTTGCACAAAAATCCAGAAACACCGGGATCAGTGAACTGACATACTTTCCATTGACGGTAGTCAATGGAAAGTATGCTGCTTGTAAAAAAGAAGCAGGAAAGTCCATTTGAGCCCCTGCTGCCTTTAAGCAGACAGCAGATAAACACACACACAATGGTTCCTTCATACTCCTCAGAGATTTAATTAAAGATGTCCATATGTTGGCTGGGCCAGGTGTGTTTGAGTGTCTATTTAGGTTGATTTTAATGTATATATGAGTGCTGTATTATCTCAGCGCTCTTGTTCTTTCCTAAACTTTGCGCTTAAATCAAACTTTCCTCTAATCAATCGCTTCCAATCAATTCAATCCAGGAGGAAACCTTTTCACTGACACGACGCTGCTCCTTGTGAAATCTCAGAACAAAAGCTGTCTTCATGCTGAGCAGAGATGATTATCAGGCTGACACAGCTTGGGCCACCTGCCAGCACTACACTGTAAAAACGCACATTTCTTCCCCTCTCAGACGCGAGCGCTTAAGGCAGCGTTTAGGCATGTCTCTCTCCATGCCAAGCATCCCCGAACGCTAAAGTCGACCCATTTTTGTCATGCTGTCATGCGTCCGCCTCTGTGATTGGCAGCCTCAAGTGGTTGCAGATGAAAGCGGGCCCCCCATGCTAATGAATAGGCCCCTGATTGCAGAGCTGCTCGCTCGCTGAATTACAGCGTCGGCCGCCTAATGAGCAGATACACTGCAGTGCCCCTCGTCTCCACGTATTCACATTTCTCTCCTTCACGCTGATGAGCGCTCCCCTGCGCAACAGTCAACAAAACCTCTGTGGAAGATTGCAACATGAGCCATCTTCATCAGCACCCTCCTCCTCCTCTAATTTTTTTTATCAGACTGCCATATGCTGGCAGGGTCTTTTTTTGTGTGTGTTATTTTTCCTGCTTCACTAGATTATATTATTTGATTGCACTGAAGATGTTATACAAAGTAACTGAAAGGCTGATGAACATGATAATAGCTCAGTTCAGTTTAAATAAAGAAGCTAGATGTTTTGTGTTTTTTTCTTACTTCAGTGGTCTACAGTCAAATGCATTACAAATAAATGTAGTCAAACTTTGCTAATTTTACAAGAAACTAAAAATGATGCTTAAAATTGTTGGTTGGCTCTGATTTCATGACATGCACCTAAGTCAGTGAGTCAGTTCTTAATTGAAACCAGAAAAAACTCAAATACATTTTGACCACTGAAATTTGGCCAAAAAATTGCCAGCATAAGTCAAGGTAATTTTCATTTAATCATTCTTCCTTAACTATTTATCCAATTTCAATAAAACTCTATGAAGTATAAAACTGCATTTTCAAATTTCAACATTTATCTCTACTTTTGACCTTTTGACCTCCTCTTTGACCCTGGATCTGACTGGGAAGTTCCATGTTTTTTTTTAAGCATGTTAAAATATCCCACTAATAATAGTTCTCATTGAATGTACAAAACCTGAACCAATGAAATTGTACACTTACTGGCCACTTCATTAGGTACAGTAGTAGTACCTAATACCACAGTAATATGTCTCTTTTAGTGCTGTTCAATCGTTCGCTACAGCAAATATGACCTGCTGAAGTTCAAACTGAACATCAGAATGGGGATCAAAGGTTATTTATTTAATTTGAACGTGGGATGGTTGTTTATGCAAGGTGGGCAGGTCTGAGTATTTCAGAGTGTGCTGATTAACTGGGATTTTCCTGCACACCCATCTCTAGGTTTTGCAAATAATGGTCTGAAAAAGAGAAAATATCCCATGAGTAGAAGTTCTTTGGGGGAAAATTATGCCAGAGGAGAGAGTGGAAAGGCCTGGCTGCTTTAAACTGATAGGAAGGCACAGTAACTCAAATAACCAATGGTTACATGCACGGTATGCAGAAGTGCATAAACAACACATCAAACCCTGAGGCAGATGGGCTGCAGCAGCAAAAAAAAAAAAAAACATACCTAGATCCACTCTTGTCTGCCAAGTACAGAAAACTGAGGCTGCAATATAGTTGCATCAAAACTGAACAATACAAGAAAATCATTGCCTGATCAAATCAGTCTCACTTTCTGCAGTGACATCGTAAGGTCAGTTTTGGCATAAACAATATGAAAGCACGGTATCAGTGGTTCAGGATGCTGGTGGTTTTTCATGCCACACTTTAGGTCTTTTAGTATCAACTAAGCTTGTTTAAATGATTTCCTGACCACGCCTATACCTTTGTAATTAGTGTACCCACTTCTGATGGCTGCTTCCAGCAGGATAACGCATCATATCACAAAGCCCAAATCATCTAAAACTGGTTTCTCATGTCACTGAGTTAATTGTGCTCAACCACCAGAGTCAAACTCAATCGAGTAGAGCACCTTTGGTATGTGGTGGAATGGGAAATTCATATACACCCAACCAAATGCAGCAGCTGTGTGAGGAATCTTTCCAGCACTCTCTTGAATCTGTGGCATGAAGAACTAATGCAGTTGAAGGGAACAGGGGGTCCAACATTGTACTAGTAAAGTGTCCCTAATGAAGTTCCCGCTGAGTAAACCAATACTTGGTTGTGGAGACATCCGTGTGCATACATGAAACAGAGTGATGAAACTAACACATCTATTCAGTAATGTTCTGGGTAAAACTGAAACTGACATTTCTCCATGTCAGAGCATCCAAACTTGACAAAACCTCTTGATGTAGCCTGGCAGATCAGGCTCTAAACAAATTCAGTACAGTTTTGTTCAGCTGTCTTTTGATTTACTGCTATTTGCTAAGCCTTGTGTATCAGTTTGTAAAAACATGGAAGAAAAATGTACCCAAAGGTTTATTAGGGTCTTCTTTGCTTCTTTGAACCCTTGTCCTTAGTTACACATGAATGCAGATTCTCTGCTTAAGTTGTTCAGTCATGTATCCCTAATATCTTTATTAATGTTTTTTTTTTTCTGTTCTTTGTGTACTTAGTCATGTAATTATTAACTCAATCCCAGAAGAAGGACATTTTTTCCAGTCATAGTTACTATGAGCAAAGAGTGTTTTTTTCTGATGTCCCTTATTCTGGAAGACAATTATTTTTTCCCACAGAAAGTCTTCTGTGACTCACAGTTGATGTCTATCTACAGCTTGGAGCAGCACGAGACTCTCCCAGTTAAAACATCAGCTAAGCATATTAAAAGATCATTCTGGTGTATTTCAATCAGATGTATTTCCCATTAAGGCTGCTACTTTGGCTCTAAAAGTCATTCTAACTTTGCTTCTCCTTCTCCACCATTCAGATCAGGGGTACTGAGGAGATGCAAGACAGGGCATCACAGCTTTGAGCTTTCATTATGTTCTTGATTCTTACATGAAGCTTTTAAAACCTTTGTTTTTAATTTTGACTCAGTATAAGTTAAATTCCTTACTTGCAAACATCTTACAAGACTCTTGACTATGCTGACATAATAAAATCAGACTATATCAACTGCGAATTTAATGTAAATGATGATTCCCAGTGTTCACATCTTACATGATAGGAATCTCCAGGTCCACAACGTCCCAAAGGTGACCAGATTGAGATGTGCTGGAAGGAAACATAAGAAGACAGATACACTGTGGTCATAAAGAGCTGGACATAACAGCAACAACACTCAACTAGGCTGGACAGTTTAAATGATGCTCAATAGGTACCAAGAGGCTCAAAAAGTTCCAAGTAAATACCCCCTCCACGAATGCTTCCACATCCCTCACATGCTTTCATTTTGTTAACGCTGAGCGACTATCTGGATGTTACAGCAAACGTAAGACTCTCCAGAACATGTGTTTTTCCAATCGTCTATTGTCCAATTTTGTTAAGCCCCAGTGAATAGCTTCAGTTTCCTGTTATTAGCTGACAAGAGTGGCACATACTGTGGTTTTCTGCTGCTGCAGCCGATCTGCTTCAAGGTTTGTTTGGAGATGCTGTTCTTCATGTCTCTTTTGTAACAAGTGGTTATTCAATTTAATGTTTCCTTCTACAACTGGAAGATTGACTGGTGATTGACTGATTTATGTCAACTAGCCTTTGCTATGCTAAAATGTAGCCTTTCTTACATTTTAGCATAAGAAGCTTCAAATTAAGTTTCTATTATGTTGACAGTTTACTTTATTTATATAGCAATTATCATGTTTAAACTTTCCTTTTAAGCTAATGTTAGCTTAAGCAGCTAATCAGCTATAATTGAGAAGATACTTCATCATGTGACTTTTTTTGTATTTATTTATTTTCAGTTATGCATTATGTTAGGTTTTTTGTTATATTTTTTATATAATAACAGTTTATATTCTTATTATTTATTATCAGTTTTGTCAATAACGTTACAAGGAAAACAGGTTTGGTAGCTACTCCGCTGCTAGCTACATTTATTGCAAAGTTTCAGTTGTAAACCTATTGATACTGCTCAGCCTTAGCATAGTTGGGTGTTATCAAAAGTGTTGCAGAGTGTCTAAGAGCCCCAATATCTTTTAAAGATTGAAACTTATGATCACCTTTTAGATTAGATTAGCTTTTATTACCTGCAACCAGGGCTGCTATGGCGGGGAAAAAATATAAGAATTTAAAAATTTGAAAACATTTTACAGGCCTTTCTAGAACCTAGATCTGGTTATAATAACCTTCTCTTTCTTTCTTTTCTTTTCTTTTCTTTTCTCATCTTTTGCAGTCCTCCAGCTGTCAGCCAAACAGCAATGACTTTGCTAATTTCCTCCCAAAAACAGGTGTTTATTTGCAGAGGCCTCACTTGTAAATGTAATGTCATCAACCATCAACAATTTCATCTTTTTTTATTCTAAGACTCTAAATGTGTACCTCAAAAGTGGATTATTTGAGGCTTCAGAGCTAGACCACGTCGACAAACAGCATGATGGTTAACACTACACCAGTGAGCATTTTTAGGTGAAATGTCCTTTCTTTAGGAAAACTGGACCACAGTGAATTTACTTTATGGCTTAGAGTGTTTTGTTTAAATATAGATACTGCACAGCCCTACCATTTAACCCTGGCTATAAAAGCACTGCATAACTGTATTTGGTATCGTGTTTCCAAACAAAGTCAAAACAAAGCAACAGGAATTTATTTGACTCTGGATTTTGGGCCATTGCATAGTGCGCTGTAGAAAGTCATAGATATAAACAAAGAACCTTTTTTTGTGTGTGTAACCGATAACTCTTACAGTAGCACATGAGAGCAGGGGCCCTGACGAAAGGCAAGGAAATAGCTGAAACTTATGATTCACTTCACCCAGGCTGACGGCCAACCACGCACCATGCAAAAATAAACATAGGACTCCAAAGCAGGTTCCCAGATAGTGTTTACTTTGGGGAAATGACAACTGGTTTTGAAACATCACTGCACTTAAGTTTGATTTATGAGAAGCTGGAGCAGATTCTGAATCAATCTCCTGAGACTGATATGCCTAGGTGTTGCATGTCATATAAAGACAGTGGCACTAAAGCACACCTGAAGGCTGAGAATGCTGTTGAATTACTACATTTCACCCTATCAGATGGAGACTAGCTTAAATCAAATGATTCTGTATATCATGTAGCTTCCTCCATTTCCACAGGTTCACAGACACATTCAGAAATTTCAAATTCTCCTATAATTCAGTCCTGGACAAATATTAAATACATAAAGTAAAGAAGAAGTCACTTTAGTGTATTACAATAAAGATCTAAATGTTTTTAATCTCTGCACAACCATTTCCATGTCAGTTATGTGGCGTATGGCTGCTAATGATGGCTGTTTAAAAGTTGTTAGAGCAGTGATTCCCCAAGTGTGGTCTGTCGGCCCCTTGTGGGCGATGAAGGTACTGCACTTTAAAATTACAGATTATTGTTTTAATGGAGATTCCCAAATAAGTGAATTGATAAAAACACAAAGAAGAAAGTGCTTCATTTTCAGCTCAGAGGTGATCAGAGAAAGGTTTTGTTGGATACCATGAAATTTTCAGACTTTAAAATGGGCCACAGTGACCAGTGGGCTTAATGCTGTTTCCTCCCCTTTAACAAAAAACCCCAAACTTTACGAAAGTACACCCAGTACACTTATTTGTGTGTCTTGTAGTAGTACACTTAAAGGTTTGATCATATAAAGTCTATCACCAGTTAGAATAATTTATCAGTCTCATGGTAATGGCCTGATAACGATATAGGAAAGACAACATGAAAAAGTTATATTTGTTTCGTATCCAGTTCGAGCTTCTGCCATACTGGAATGAGATGCCTGCTAAGGCTAAAGTTGTCCTTATTCCAGGCCATGGGATATCAAAAGCATGAGGACAACATGTGCAATCACTTTATACGTTATTTATAGGTTATATTGGCTGTAGTCTAATTTAAAGTCTGCAAGTTAAGAACCAGTTTTTCCATTTTTTCTCCAGTTTTTCAGCATTGTGAGCTAAACAGAAACATCACATAAATCATTACCCTTATCAAAAGATGTTGTGTCTTGAGCTTAAACTTGTCTTGAACTTTTGTATATTTTGACATGAAAATGGGAAATAGTTTAAGTGATTTATTTAAACTTGTGCAAACCTACATGGGATAAAGCAAATAAGGCCAATTTATAGTAAGCTTGAAAGTCAATATTTGGTATGCTCACTTTTATGGACACTCTCAGGTAGGCCTTCTTGGAATTTTGCTAGTTAGTCTTGAAGGCCTCTTGAAGAAGAAGCTTTTTTATGTCGACTGCTTTTTGTTCCGTTTTCTGTCAAGCTGATCCTACACTGCTTCAGGGATGTTGCGCTCTGGGCTCTGGGGACGCTGATCTATGACTGACAGTATTGCCACCAGCACGGCTTTTACTGCGAAAGTATGCTGATCAGATTATTCATAATTCCATTAAATTTGACAAGATCCTCCAACACCACTGTCTGAAATACAGACCCAACCCATGACAGAGGCTAGCTCACAGATGGCTTTAGACACTCCCCTGACCTGGACTGGACCTATGTCAGGGATTTGCTGTATTTCTCCCAATATTTCTCAAGGAAAGGACTTTTAGATGCTTTTCATCTGCTGTAGATAGCATTTTTGAAGCCTACAACCTCCATTTGTCATATTTACTTAATTTTTCAAGGAGACACTGAACATGCTGAGATATCCTTAGAATACTTAAAGTTATCCTCAAGTTGTCTGTTGTGTGTAGACACATCACTGGTTCATCCCTTGAGTTATAGGTTCCCTTTTTGTGCTTGAATGATTTATAAATCATTTCTAAGTAACTTAAACATAATTCCCCTGAAAATGGTCAAATACAAAGACTGGACTGAAAAATGAGTGAACAAGCAGCCGGTGCCTTTCAGAAAGCCTAGAGACCTACAGCTCAAGACCGCTTTAAAAAATTACAAGAACGTCTGGGTCATAAAGAAATCAGGAGTAGCTCAAGGGTTTTGCACTTTATTGGAATATAAATCTTTATTTCTATATAACGTTTCATTTTCATACCATGTCTCTTCATAATTCAAGTAACTTGTGTCTGAAAATTTGAGCTTTAAAAATACTTAAGTTCTCTGCTGTAGTATGTGTTTTAAGCCACATGATGTCGCTGTATCCTTGCTATGTCTTGCTTTTGTGCTTGTGAGAATCAGTTTTATGGCTTTTCCCCTTTGACTAAGGAACAAAGATCCCACACATACATCAGAAAAATGTAACGAATATCAACACAAGTGTATTTGTACAACATGTATGCATCCAGTTGTATTACATTATAATGTAGTGACACTGTAATACAGACACACTTGTCCTGCAGTTAAGACTGCATTCAGTTTAAGTTAATATCCATTTGTTTGATTCATTCTGGGCCAAGATGGACAGCTTTAAGTCATTAATGTTACTGTGCCTGCAGCCTGTAGAAACAGACAGGTTATAGGTGACTTTTACGGTTAGCTTAGAAACGGCACAAAAGAAAGTTTCCACCGTGAGCTGTCCCAGAATGTAGCTGGCCAATGCAGACGAGTGCTGGCCGGGGATGGCTGCAGTGAGATGTAATTCATACAGCACTAAATCAGGTCACTGTCACTGAGAGCTCTGATCTTCTTGGCATGATAAAGCCCAAAGAAATCAAAAGTCATACATGTTTTCAACAGTAACAAGGGATTATATGCTCTAAGATGGAAATAGAGGGCTGAGAGACAATTCACCCTTATAAAATGGTGCCTGTGCGTGTTGATGTGGGTGTGGGTGTCTGTGAGTGTGTAAATATAAGCCAGGTTTCCAGTTCATCCACAACTACGCCCTGCATTTCTTTGTGTATTTCTCAGGGGTCTTCACTTTCTTTTCATTCTTTCTCTTCATTGTTCCCGTTTCCTCTCGTTTCTTCCCATCCTGGCTGGCCGTCCTCAGGTGAAGCCTTCTCACATCACTCTAAAGCCATTGTGTCTGCTCTCAATACAACCACTGTGGAAAGAGACAGGTCAGATTCAAGTCTGAGGAAGCTATTGTGAGGACAAATATAGAAGTAAAGGCCAAATTTTCTGCTGGGCAGGACTGGCTTGTTTTTTATGTAACAATATTGAGTGAATGCAACTTTTTTCCCCCAACAACCTATTACATTTGTTCTCTTTTGAACGATTTTTCTGCCATATTCATCTTAGATATACTTATATTACCTGAAAAAAGCAGGTTAAACTATAAACTATACTGACAGTAGCAGTACAGTTTTTCCTCAAATGAAAGGACACATTGATTTAAACTCATGTGCACCTCTGTATTTTTTCAGTCCTCCACAAGGTGTCATATTGCATCCTCTCCTTTGTTGTTGTGGGATTGGTTACATGACTGGCTCCTCCCCAGCCAGGATAGCTGATCCTCTACAGCCGGACTCACCTGTGAAAGCTGCTCCAGCAACAACAATCACTCTCACCATCAGCGACAAGAAGAGACCAACTGAACAACTGAGCTCCAGGTAAATACTGTTTTTGTCCCTTTCCTCTGTTTCTGTTCATCAATTTACAGCTCAGAGTAGCTGAATAGGGAACACATTTTCTGGATGATGTAAAGCTCTCAAGGACTTGAAATTTACTAGAACGTCATTGCTGTTCTTCTTAAATAACTCTGTGACGAGGAAAGAGTGATGATGCTTGGTATCCAGCACTTGTATTTCAAACACAGTGTTTCTTTAGTAGAACAGAAACATGATTGGTAATATTTCCTGCTTGAATGTTCAACAGAAACCTGGAAAAGGGAGACAAAAGATGACAAAAAATGTTACAGGGTGATCCAAGTGACTTTTTAAGTTTTTCAGGATCTCAAGAAAATCATTTATTGTTACATTTTTGGCAATCGTTTAGTAGAAAGTCATAAAACTCAGAGTTGTTTCAGATCTATCAAATCCAACAAGACAAATCAAATGGCTGATCTTGCTGGATTAATCATGTGACTTTAAGAACCAATAGGTGTGCACTGTCTGTTTTCCTAACCATTGTTGTCTATTCTGAAGTACTTTCTGTTTTTTCCTTTTGGGTGATTTTGAGAACAAAATAAGACAGAAGTGGCCATGACAGCCTGTTCATGTATCAATCTACTAATATTTTTATTTTATTTTCTTGATGGGAAATCATCTCAAAAGGAAACTAGTTATAACCTAGTAAATAGTGACTCCATTCTTTGAACAATGCCTAATGACATACTACCTTAAGATATGACAGGGTGCCTTGACTTTTAGCCCTTTCAGAGTTTTCTGGTGTATGATAGGCATAAAAAACCTCTAGGTGTGTTTTTGTCTTCCTTATTGATCCTTATTGAATGTATCTAACTATCTGTGTAGTGGACACCATGGCATCTGCTCTCTCTGTGCGCTCAGTGCGGCAGCCCTCCTTCTCCAACATCTCTGTGAGGGGCAGTGGACGCAGCATCCGCTCCAAACCCTCTGTCTCCAATCTTTCCTCGATCGCCACTCTGTCGCGCTCCCTCTCTCTGGGCAATGGCCTCAACGTGCTGGGCTCCAGCCTCTCCAATGGCCTCAGCGTCAGCGAGAAGGAGACCATGCAGGGCCTGAACGACAGGCTGGCCAACTACCTGGACAAGGTGCGGTCACTGGAGAAATCCAATGCTGAGCTGGAGGTGAAGATCAAGCAGCTTATGCTGGACAGAGCTCCAAAAGGGTACGACATTGAGGGGATGATGGCACAGGCCCATGCCATTGGACAGGAGGTCAGTGTCTAGTGCTTTAGACTATACAATTCATTTTAAGACTTCCTGTCTTGAGAAAAAAATAATAATATTTGTGCGTGATGTTCTGTCATGAATTCTCTAATTTAAAGTGCAGTTTTGGTGGAAGAACTCAACTTAACAAATTAATATTTAACTAGACACATTAAAACTACACATAATTTTAACTTGCTGTGCATTGTGTTCTTTCACTTAGGTGAGAAAGAAGACACTGGAGAATGCCCGTATAATGCTGGAGATTGATAATGCCAAGCTGGCGGCTGATGACTTCAGGGTCAAGTGAGTGTCACACTGCAGTCTTTTCCCTGGCTGTGAGTGTTCACATGGGAGCGCCAGACTGCAAAACAGTATGAATAAATGACCTTTCTGTCAGGGGCCAAAATAAATGCCTTATTCCCACGGTGGGTGCTCCAGTACCAAACAATGGCAACATCAGTTAGAGGGGAATATGATAGATGGTGCAGGCCAGAAAGAGAATCGTCCCCTTACGGAGATTCTACAGTTGGTAAGGTGAAGCTAAAGGTGACAGAGTCAGGAAATACCTGCTGCTGGTGTTTTTCACAGTGTGTTGATAGTATGTTTTGTGGTCTAATGTGAGGGAGTAATATGTCAGCTGACAGTGATTCATGTTATTTACAGCAAAGTGAGTATGGACCTTAATAACTTTGAGCTTTGCAGGAGTTTGCATGCGATTTTTCACATTTGTGCATCCATTCCTGAGTGGCCTCAGTGCCAAATTCACAGAAGAGTTACTAATTAGCTCCAGCTGCCTTTATCAGGTGCCTGTTAATCAAAGTGTCAACACCCCTAACACCAGTATCCACACGAAGGAGTTAACAGGCTGTAAATCTGCTATTTAATGATGTAAAGTTGGATATTTTAATGTAGAAGTTCATGGGAACTGATTTTCTTTAAGAGCTACTTGCCTCCTGAGGTACTTGAGGAAAAATGAAAATAGCGTGGAAGTGTCACTTCTGGTACTTGTTCAAAAGTCTTTTTCTTTATGCAGAAGCAGGAATATTTTTGATCTATAGGTACAGAAAGATTGTATTAAATAATCTGCAGTATTTTCAGATCTCATGAAAATGAGTATTTTTCAATAATGTACACAAAAGGTACAAACCTGGCCTAAAATTGCACATGTTTACTGATGACCTCCTTTTCTCTTAACATGAACTTGTGAGAATTTACAGGGAATCGTGTTGGGATATTTTCCACATGTACAGACAGCAGGAAGTAGCCACTTCAGACACATTGACACAACTAGAAATGCTCTATGCACCATAGGTAACGTGGTTACTTGGATATAGTGTACAGGAAGAGCTGGCAGGTTAAAAGTAATTTCTGTGATTACTTTCTGCATTTACCCCCATTTCCTCAAGAAATTTTAGCTTTTCCCAGAATGTTGTGGTAATGTATGTGTGCATTCTTACTGATTTGCCTGGCTGACTTGCCACAAAATTGTGGTACATATTTCTATATATGAAATCTCTTCAACACAACACATGGGTCTTTTGGAAATAAAGTCACAGCTGTTATTCTGTTGATTGCTCATATCCAACCTGACTACATCAGATATTTCTGTTCTCAAGTGCAGAGCTACAGCACAAGTGTGAAAGTTCATTTATTTGATTTAATCTTGTCTTTAATGCTGTTTTTTTTTTTTAATGCAGATGGGAGGCAGAGGCCACCTTGTGCCAGTCAGTGGAGAGGGACTGTCAGGCTCTGAGGAGAGCAAAGTCAGACCACGACCAGATCATCGCCACTCTCCGAGGAGACCTGGACAGCCTGAAGGAGGAGCTCTACTTCCTCAAGAAGAATCACCAGGAGGTGAGACTGCTGCCAAAACGAAGGTTACAAGAGGTTAAACAGTGTTTACATATCCATTATTATTATCTTCTTCACAAGACACAAGTTCATATAAACTAGTTCTCTGCCAGGTCAGTTTGTGTTTTCTCCCACAAGGTTTAAACAGTGTCCGGTGTCTGAAATACGATAATATAAGTACAGGGACACACCCTTCATCTTTGTAACCAGACTGCTTCAAGATAACGAGGTAACTCCAACGTACACAAAGCAGGAGTGTTTGAGCCCAGTCATCACAACAGTCTGTGTGTGTTTAGGCAGTCAGGTGTGGTGTCCAGGATGTAGACTGAATTTTACACAGAGGGAATTTTTTATTTTGTCTTAAAAATGTATAAAATTTGACTGACTGTAATTAGAGTGTTATCATAACTGTACAGCGCAGCTTTTTTATTTTGTTATTTTTTAACACATCTAATTTTTCTTAAATCGAGATTTTAAAAAAAACCAAAATTCATAATTGTTGCAGCCAGTAAGAACTACAAAACCCAAGAGGTGTTGATGCAGCTACCATATAAATGTCTCAGAAATTAATTTGTAGCAAAGGTGAAGTAGATGAAGCCTTCTGACACACAACCTGTGGTTGCACTCTTTTAGGCAGCTACAGTGATCACTCATTTAAACTTTAATTATTTTGTGAGCTTTATGAACAATACAGTAATAACTTTTAATTCACGGTGGGATTCTTTCTTTAAAAAACCTTATTATATTTGGCTAGTCCTCTGAAGATTATCACTTGGCACTGGCTTTTTCTTGAGGCTTCATATGTTGTGAATAAAAACTTTACAACTACTGTAAAGATTTAAAGGAAGTGAGAAATGGTAGCGTAAAATAGTTATCGGAGAGCTGTGAAGTTTCTGTGATATGAAAGCTGAGCTGATTTTGTGGGATTACTCCTGCACATGTAGCTGATGTTATTATGGGTGTCAAAGTAGGAAGGCGAGAATTAAAATTCCAGAACAACTATTTTGCACAGCTCTTAACTAAACAAAGAGCAGCAGGTCAGGTGCTGAAAGTACAACTCATCTGGGGAAATGCACGAGGAAGGACACGGCCATGAGAGAGGATGTGATAAAGGGCAAGGGATGAATGAGACAACACATATATATGCAGAGGATAACGAGAAACAAGCAACAGGTGTGAGAACAGCTGCATCTAATTACAGGTGACAGGCAAATAGAACTGAATACACGACAAACCACCAAAATGAAACAGGAAGAAACGGAACACGGAAAGAGAAACTCAGACATGACACAAAGACAGAAAGATAAACAAGCACCAAAACAAGACTGACTTCACAAGAAGTCACAGGGAACACAGGGGAGACGTGTAAAGCTAATTTAACAAAGTACATTAGAGTTTTGATTGACTCTAACCTACATCTGCTGTAACAATAGGTTAGCTCATTGAAAACAAACAGCCAATTAGGCAACATGGATGATGTTAAAGCAGGTTTACCAGCTCTCGCGCTGATGGCATGACTTTCACCTTCAGTCTCACGCTGCTGAAACAGTCTCACACCAGTTAAAAGGAAGCCTCAAAGCTCCTCCTTTATTAAAACAAACAAACAAAACAAGCAGACAACAGGTTTTTTCCATCTGAACATCAGACCTTTTTCTAAATTTCAGCTCTGGTCCCTGAACATCTCAGTTTACAAGCTTAATCCACCAGAGGCATTTAATGGTTTTCATTTAATATAGCAGCTCTTTTAGCACACAACTTCTTTTTGTTTGCTCAATGTCTCTATCAAAAGGCAGTACTAAGTGTAGTAAAACCACTTGAAGTTGAAGTTGGTGGATTAATAGGTGGACATCAAAATATTTCTGTTATAACCATGATTTACATTACAGTGCATCTACAGTAAGATGCTGCTTTTTCTCTCCATTCCTTCTTTAAATGTCTGCAGGAAATGAACTCCCTGAAGGCCCGTTTGGACAATGAGCAGGTGAACGTGGAGGTGGATGCGGCTCAAAGTCCTGATCTTGGGGCCATCTTGGCTGAACTCAGGGTCCAATATGAGGGCATTGTTCGCAAGAACAAGGAGGAGGCCGAGTCTTGGTACCTGAAGAAGGTGTGTAACTGCACAAACCAGCTCTTGTTCTTCTGTCTTTTCCCCACAGTAAATAAATATGTAGGACTGCTTTCTTTCATCTCTGCAATATTGTAAAAATTACAATTTATCCTATCCTAACAAACTAGATGCATTGGTTACAGCTAGTCGGGACTATTGCCATTCCTTTTTATCAGCATGTCCTAAAAACTCCCTGAAAAGCTGTCAGTTGGTCCAAACGAGTAGAGAAAGAGAGAAAGCGAGGGATCATATTTGTCCCTTGTTTGTTCACCGGCTTCCTGTTAAGCTCATCATTTAATTTAAAATCCTCCTTCTTGCATAGAAAGTCTTGAAGGGTCAGTCCACATAACATCTTAAAGACCTTAATGCATTATATTATCCCATCAGAGCGCTTCACTCTCAGACTGCAGGCCTACGTCTGGTTCCCAGAGTTTCTCAAAATAGAACTGGAAGCAAAGCCTTCAGCTACCAGAACCACCTCCCTAACTAGGTTCAATGATATACTAATTAGGCTTCAAACTTTCACTTTTGGCTTATAGTTAGCGCTGCATCAGGTTGACCTGAAACATTGCTTAGTTAACCAGCTTAGGCAGCTAGAAAGTAATCAAGTACTTCACCTCTTGTTACTCATCGAGCATTTTTATGCTACTACATTAATTTTCTTTTCCCTTCCCTTCTCTGTCATCACCAAATCAGTTTTAGCAGATAACTGCTCCGCCCTGATCTTGGTTCTGGTTTCTTCCTGTTAAAGCACGTTCGTCCTCTTCAAGGTCTCCAAGTCATAAGGGATTGCCTGATTTTGGGGGTTCTCTACCTAATGTTGTTGGGTCTTTACTTTACAGTATGAAGCACCCTGAGTTGAGTGCTGTGTTGAATTGTTTTGAATGTTATGTTTTTATGTGTTTACAGTTAGAGGCAGTACAGTCGGAGGTCAAAGAAAGCAACGAGGCTTTGCGTTGTGCCCAAAGTGAGCTCAGTGAGAGGCGGCGTTTCCTTCAGGCTCTAGAAGTTGAGCTTGAGAGCGTTCGTAAACAGGTACAGTACAGTTTGTTCATATACATTTGAATGACTACTTATCTTCTTCAGCGGTGAGGTTTCCGTGAGACGGAGACATTAGAAACCCTGTATGAGGGCACATGAATGACTGGTCCTCACCCCATCCTCACATCCTCCCCCGCACACTTGTCGAGACTAGCTTTTTGTCAGTTAAGAGCTGCTGCTGTATAGATACAATGTACACAGCAGGTTAATAATGTTTCCACAATCAATCAGTGTGACAAGACACAAAAACCTGGTGTTTTGTCTCCACTTCCAGTGAACTCAGTAATAATGTACAGCATGCAGACATGTTCACTGGAGGCAAATGTAGCTTTCAGATATTTGCTCAGCCTGATCGCACAGTAATGAATGCAGACGTATTATAGTGCTGACAGGAAAACTTCTTAATAGGTAAAATTACAAAGCAGCAGTTTTTGACTGATTTTCTGACAGTGGTGACACTCTTTATGGTCCGTGTGAACAGTGAGTTAATATGGAGGCTTTACCGTTTCATCCTCACTGTGTTTACCTCCATCCTCAAAGTTTCTACTGTTGCATGAAGACCATACAGCCCGTTAGAGCAGGAGTATCAGACTATAAATTTACAACTATAGTGCTGACAGGAAAACTTCTTAATAGGTAAAATTAGCCATTCCCAAAATTAAGACTGCTATACTACTTTTTGAAATGTGAAAAGCTTTAACAAAGCCAAACCTTTAACACAGCTTTGATCCTTCTTTATGTTTTAATTGATTCATTTTAGTCTCCTAAAGATTTACTTCCTGGTGCTGAGCATCCTTTACAGTAACGGCTTCATTTCAGCTTCTTATAGCCAGTGCCTCATTTTAGCTATTTGCACTACTGATGAGATTTAGCAGTTAAAGATTTAAAGAAAGTCAGAAAATCAAGAATAACGTGTCATTTTAAAATTTTCTGACTGTCGGAAACAAAAAAAATGTTCATGCAGTTTTAAATATTTAAATGGCTGTTTTGTTATTTTGTTATTTGTGATTCCTCTGTAATTAATTCCCCAAAAGGCAAGTCTATTCTACTTTCACCCTAAGCCAGCACCCTCATTATTGATGCTTCATCTTTAGCACACAGACATTAGAGCATTAATTATTTCACTTTAATAAAAAATATATATATTTTAATATCAGAGTGGGCAGTCCCATCTTAAGTAAGCAAAGGACGACATTTTAGACAACTAACTCAAAATTTGATTATTGTTCCCAAAGACATTATGTGTTTTTAACCATGCATGCTCAGACTGTTATCTGTGCTTCTCAGGATGAAGCTGTTCCTTAAACGCAGTTCTTGATGACATATAGCGAAGGAGGCAACCTGTCTGAATATTCAAGCCAGCTTTAGTAATTATGTAACACAGAGGAGAATATGTTATCTGTTGTGGCTATTCAGCATCAGTATGCTGTGTTTACAGGTTAGCGTGTTAGAGGGAAATCTCGGAGAATCGGGACACAAGTACTCTGTGGACATGGACCGTCTTCAGGCCATTCTGACACAGCTGGAGGATGAGCTGTCTCAGCTGCGTTTGGACATGCAGCGCAACAAGACTGACTACGAGCAGCTACTACGCATCAAGCAGAACCTGGAGATGGAGATCGCCACCTACAGGAGGCTGCTGGAAGGAGAGGACATGTAAGCAAGTAGAAAAACAAATCTAAGCCTAAGGGATGCACAGTCCCAAAATAACAACAGTCACAGGACCAGTTCCTTTTCAAATGCATATTTTTTTACTTGAATATTATCAAAAAAACAAATGACTCTTGTAGTTATTCATACTTTCTACAAGAAGGAGGCATTTGTACATTTATTAGTCTTCGAATTAAAGGACTTGTTCTCCATTTTGGGACATATGTGCATTTTGTTTTTAGCAGAAATAAGATTATCATGTCCGTCCAGTAAATTTAACCACAGTTTGTTTTAGATGAGCATAGATTAGAAACAGGGGTCGCATTTACACGGAAAAATCAGCGTACCAGGAATCTCAAGTTTATTAACACCTTATATTTTATTTGGTTATTTACTTTTGCACATACGTTTGTATAGACTAAACTTTGGACAGAGTTAAAATTAAGCTACCCAGAAGCAACTGTAGCATCATATTCAGTTCACTATGATTGTTCATATCAGAGTTATTATAGCTTTGTGCTTTCTAGTTAGTATTTTTATTTCATATTTGAGTTTTTGTTTTTAAACTAGTTTCTTCTTAGTTTGTTTTCAGAGTTGATTTACTTATTTTCAGTTTCGTTTTCAGAATTTGAAAATGTTTAGTTTTTGTTTAGTTGTTATTAGTTTCATTGTTTTGTTTTAGTCTTTTTAATTACTGTATGGAGGGCATGTCTCTGAGACCAAATTTAGAAAAATCAGTGCAGGTAATTTAATAAAAACACATAACTTTTTAAAAGCAACTGACCGATGGTCAGACTCTCAATAAAAATGTGCATCAATGCCTCATCAAGCAAGGTGTAATAACATTTTTACTACACTAAGCATAAATGTTTCAGTTAGTTAAAAAAAATGTAATCATTAACTAAAATGTTTTTACTTTTAGTTTGTACTTTACTTTTTAATAAACAAGCTTAATGACCTTAAATGGTATGAATATTAGTGACAAGGTGTAATAAATGATACCCATAACTACAGTGAAAAAAAGAATAGATATAAAATACAATAAATAATTAGACAAAAGAAAACATGAGAACAAAGTGTTTTTTCCCCACAATGCAGAACTGTATTTGTTTGAACGTGCTTTCTGCTTTGCCTTCACTGATTATAATTTTGTCCTACAGGGTGAAAGAAACTCCCCCTCCACCTCTTAAAAGTAAGTTCAGATTATTAAATGTAACAAATCTGTTGCAAATCTGAGCGTGTCATCTGTAAGTTTAGGTTGGATAATGCTAGTCTGGGAGAAGCACTTGAAATCCAACAAGTTTTCCGAGCCAGAGTTGACATGCTTTAAAACTGCTGAATTTAAACCAGAGATATAAAGGCTGTTGACGGTTTGTGTTAAATTCTTTCATAACAGAAGTTATTTGCTAGTAGAGCAAAAGAAACCGTTATAAATACAATATTGTGGGTATCATACTACAGGCGGATGGCACCAATAAGTTACTAAAAGTACCTTAATCTTACAGTTATGGTTTTTATAATTATAGTTTTTGCATTCAGAGGTGTGCTAAGGTCTGCTTGGGTCAGGGGGATGTCACTTGTCACGAGACAGTGATCGTGACACTCGTTGCAGATGTCCACTTGTCAGCCATTTAATACAACGCACCAACTAAAAATGTGATCTACAAGAGAACTCTAGAGAACTTTACAAGAGAATAGAATAGATATTTATCCACGGTGTCTGCTGCTGTCTGTGCTCCAAACATTTGAGAATTTAAGCGACTTGGGACAGAGTGACATAAATTCAAGGCTCGATGCAGATGTTCGGGTTTCTGAAAATGTTTTGTGACTCACTGCGGCACAATGTCACACTACAATCCACCAATCGCAATGCATTTTAAGGCCAACTTAACTGGATATTATCGCTTGCAGAGGTGGGACGTCTTGTCACTATTATGGAGTCCCTCTGAGCAACACACTCTTATTTGGTAAAATTTTAGTAAAGCTTTGCTTGGACAAATAATTAGAGTTCGGAGCTTCGTTTTCACCTCATTGGTGATGAAATGTACATCACTCAAATGCAACCAATGTAAAAAAGGAAGGCTTACTCATCAGCAGTTTCTGCAGCTTATCCTCAAGCAGGCATGATCGAGGCCACAGAATCTATTTTTACACACTTGAATACAGGTGTGCCTCGAAACTTTGGTGCGCTCTGGGCAAAAAAAAGTTTGAAAACCATTGTTGAATGGTATCCAGTGTCATACCAGAGGCCAGAATTCATCACTACTGCAAAAGGGTCCCATGTTTCAGTACAGGCTTCTATAGGAAGTCAGTATAAAAAGAACTTGAGTGCTGTTGTCCTTTATGTCTGTTACAGTCTTCTCTTGTAAAGCTGGGTAATTTTAGTCATCTTAAATTCTTCCAGTAGGCCAACAATGCAGGAAAATCTGATCCTTTCCTTTGCTATTCAAACTCTTTTGTGAACATGTGTTCACTTGATACTCACACGGGATCATAAAAAAATCAAAATAGTACATGACTCACTCGGGGAAAGTAGGAATCCCTTTTCTCGGGGTCAGTGTGGCTTCGTAGCCTCAATATAAACTTCTTATCTGAGTATAGCACTGTTGTTACACTGTTAATGACACTTTCTGTGGCTTTAGATTAGCAGCATTAGTGTGACTAACCATTGTTCGCTCCTGTGTTACAGAAGACCCCGATGTGAGGACTAGGAAGATTGTGAAAGTCGTCACTCAAACAATGATCAATGGCAAAGTAGTCGATGAGTCCAGCGAGGTGGAGGAGATCGAGGAACGCAAAAAATGAACCAAAGTGCATCAGTACGGAAGCAATGTTTCATAAAGCATTAGCTGACTGTGGATCAAATTATTGTTTTCTTTATTTACTTTATTTAATCACAGATAATATTAGCCCTGTGAGGTTTAAATAATGGCTCCAGCTGTGACCATACAGCTGTATTTTGGAGATATATAAAAAGATCTTCTTTCCTATATAATAGTCTTACATAATAATAGTTTATACACATCACTTAAAATTACTTTTTTGTTCCCACGATTGCAAAGAATATGAAAAAAGAAGCAAAAATGGCATATTCTTCTACCGTAGGGTTAGGGTTGTGGTGATCAGCAGTGATGAATAAGACATCACAAGATTATCACATGTTATTGTCAGTGTATTGGAACAAGGCTGACCAGATTCTTCTTCTTCAATACTAAAATAAGTCTGACTAAAGATTTATAATTGCTTCCACACTTCTGAGGGTTACAGTCAGTTTAGAAAATGATGCACTGTGATGGTCTTTGTTGTGCTTTTCAGTCTTTAAATCAAATCCATGAAGTTTAATTTTCTTAAAATGTCTTTGAAAAGGTCAACCCATTTTTAATGCAACTTCTCGTCACTATTTTCTAAAATAAAATGGAATTACTGATATATCCTAGTTCTGCAGCATGAAAGATTTTCACATATTTTTAGAAATTATTAATTAAGACCCAGTTATGCAAATAATATACATAAAATGTTCTTTTTCCAGTATCATCACAGGTGGCAAAAGTATTCTTTATGTAAATAGAAGTACAGAAACCTGTGTTTAAAAAGTACTCCGGTAAAAGTGCAGGCTCTGAGATGTACTAAAAGTACTTTTAGAGGATATTTCTACCAGCGATTTTTGTGCAAAGCTAACTGAAGCTTGTAGTAATAATAATCATCATCATCATAAAATTATGTTAGTATGTGAGACTACAAACAAAATTCCAATCTGTATTCCAATTCTAATGAATGTAGTCAGCTTGAATCTGTTATGTAGGACACATCATCATCTGCCTAAAATCAAATTTGCTACACTGGATGTAACCCAATTTGACCATGAACACAACAGTCCAACACTGGTCCAACACACTGCCTCACTGTAAATCCATCAGCGTAACACTGAAAAATCTGAATTAGTTAGTTTACCTCAGTGTGTTTCGCAGGATGTTTCAAAAAATATGAAAGTGTATAATTTATCAGAACACATCATAAACAGACCCACTGTTTGATTAAAAATGATACTATAAAACATGATAGTAACAGTTTACAATTTTCAAATATCACTGAGCAGTCCTTACCTTTAAATATAACCCCTGTTCTTCCTCTTCTGTCCTGTCTTTCTTACGTCGTTCTCCATCTCTGGGCAGCTTTAGCTAGCACACACACTGCCCGCAAACAGTTTGTGTTGATATTTGTTGAGCTGTTAGAAAAGTTTCTTTTGAAATTATCTGCCACAGCATGTTATTCCCGTTATGCTGTCATAGATGACTTTGCTCAAATTGCATTAAAATGAAACATCCAGGAAAAAACATGATCATGTATTTTTGCAGTTTCCAATATTTTAAAGGTTTAATATATGTGAAAAGTGAAAATGAAAGTATTTCCTAAACTTTAAATCCTTTCTTTTGATCATCACTGGAGGCTAAATGTGTTTAAATATTTGTCTTAACTGTGCCAATAATGTCATTCATAAAGTGACTGTACCAACTCTGTTATTGTGTGATAGTTTCACTGTGAAAAACTACTGAAAGTATTGTTATGTACTTTTAATATCCAAATAAACATTTTAACCAAAGCGGCTTTACAGTGCCAATAAAACTCAGTGATTAAAATGTGTTTTGTGTTCTGGGTTTGTTTCAAACAGAAACCTTGACTCATACTCAGAGAACAAAAACGAAATGTGATTCTGCACCTACAGAGCAGAAACTACCAAACCTGAATCCAGCAGTGTCGGGTAACAACCTTTGTGTGTTTCTGTGAGTTTGTGTTCACATTAAAGTGAAAATTTACAAAAAAGATGGCAGAGCAAGCTCCTGCAGTGTTTAATGTGGTCTGCTGTGGTGGTGTATGAAAAAGTCAGATGTCAATGCAGAAACAAAGAGCCTACAGTCAAAGTGCAACAGGTGGAACAGGTAAGAATCGTATCAGAGTTTGTTTTGGGCTTTTTTGCTGTATGTGCGACTCGAGTAAAAGATACTTGGGTGTCTACCCAGAGGATTCGTCTTTGTTTTTGTGTGGTTTTTTTTTACTGGGAAATGTTCCTCCTTTTGTTTCCTTGTGAAAACAAAGTGCTCCGTGTGCAGTCAGGATGTCATTTGGGGATTTCAGCCACTTTGAGTTTTTGTTGTCTGGTCGCTGAAGGATTTTATCTTTCTTAGAGGTGTTTGTGTGTTGAGGGAGGAGGCTTCATTTAAATACTGAATACATTTCAAAAATGTGTGTTCTTGGGATGACTCTAATATAGGAACACTGAGGACCAGGCAGTTGGGACACAAAGTAATGAATAGTCAGGATTGCTGGCAGGTGTGCAGCAGGGGTGTTTCCAGGCTTGTTAAAAAAAGGCTGGCGTGGGGGACATTGAGGAAACTGTTAAAACCAAATAAAATCAGTTCAGTGAGTTGTATTTGCACACACCAACTGCTGCCATAAACGTGCATTAAGATTAACATGGCACCTAAACCGAAGCACAACATTTAATGGAGACCTATCAAAGCTAAAATGCAGCCTGGTTAGAACAGTAAATGTGATTAACTTATTCTGATGTTAGAGGCGATCGTGGCTCAAGAGTTGGGCGGTCGCCCTGTAATCGGAAGGTTGCTGGTTCGAGCCCCGGCTTGGACAGTCTCAGTCGTTGTGTCCTTCACCCATTGCCTACTGGTGGTGGTCAGAGGGCCCAGTTGCGCCAGTGTCCGGCAGCCTTGCCTCTGTCAGTGTGCCCCAGGGTGGCTGTGGCTACAATGTAGCTTGCCATCACCAGTGTGAGTGGGTGGATGACTGGTTGTGTAAAGCACTTTGGGGTCCTTAGGGACTAGTAAAGGCTTTACTAGTCAGGCCGCTTAACTTACTGAGTGTTAATAATGTCTTACCGTTTGCAAAGTAAAGGAGGGGAGGAGGAGTAGGCTGTGGACCAAACCATGAGGCAGAGCCCACTTTAAAAAAATGAATTTGTTTGAACAGTTTGAATAATTAACCAATAGTATTCAGCTCATTCAGTGTTATTGTATACATTTACAACCATTCACTGAGGAGAACAATCATTTTTTTTGATGGGGAACCTTTTGATCTCACCCATAATTTCCACTTGCCTCCACTCACATGTCAACACATTTTTGCCTGGAGGCTGCTCCCTTCTGTACCTGGTTTGTTCGGTGTAACCATTTCTGTTTTCATTTTGTATTTTTGCAGTCTAGCTGAGCATTTCTTGGACATAAAAACTCAAATTCAAACTGCTTAAATAGCTCTGTTATGACCAAGAACTCTGTGGACTGAGTTGGCTTCCCACAGGGGCAGTGTCTGTCTTCTTGTCTTGTAAATAGTGAGTTATTTAACCCACATTGACTGTTGTGGCTCAGTGTGTGGTGTGGGTTTTGTGTGGGTAGAGGTGATGTGTTAAATGGGATTCAGTCCAGAACATTGAAGCAGCCCCCTTAAAGCTCCCCAGACTGAAAAAAAACTTTTAATTAAAACCTGCTGTGACACCTCTGCTCTATGTTCTACATATGGACTGTCCTCAGTTTTCCTTTATTTTTAATGACATGTTTTGGATGGACCAGTGTTCTTTTGTTAAAATGTAGAGATTTCTTCTGTCCTTTAGATGATTATTCACAGCTGCTCTATGACAGAGGGGGTTCTAGGATTCCAGTCAAAGAAAATAAACCACCAGCTCTCCTATAAAAACCACTGGATGTGATTGTTGCAGTGTGTTTGGCATCCTCATCTAATTCCTCTTCTGTCAAGCTTCTGGAGAGCAGGAGTCATCTTTTAATTCAGTGTTGGGAGCATTCTTATTCACCCAGGCATCGCCCATAAAACCCTCACACAGCCTTGACAGTCCTGTGGTCTTGTAGAGACACAACACTGAACTTCACCTGATCTAAATACATTCTCTGTTTTCTTCTCTCCACACTGTCTGGGCATGACAGATAATCTTTACCAAGTCATAAGCAATTTAACTTGTTTTCAATGTAAGGCTATGTAAATAGTTAGTTAAACTGAGTGTCATTGATAATATGGCTGCCATTTTACTTCCTAACCCAGTGATAGAGTAAGCAGGTTAATATCACTCAACTAACTAAACAAATCCTTACTTACAATATAATTAGAGGACTTAGTGAATATGAATAGGTTATGTATTTCAAAGTATGGATAAACCATAAAAGATTGTATAATAAGTACAAATAAGTTTGTTGTATAATGCAAAAGTAGTTCTAAGTAAAAGAATAAAACTAAATAGTTACATAAATGTGGCAATATTTTTATAAGTTTAAATACATATAATAACAATTAGCTATCTGGAATAAATATCCATGTAAGTAAATATAGTTATAAAGTTATAAGTATTTAATAAAAGAGCTAAAGAGTCATAATATGTTGTGTATATTGCTGAAAAAGCTGAAGATAATGGACAAACGTTAAAACATATAATTACATACTATGATATACTATGAATAAAGTAGCTGAGACCAAACTGAGCTAAACACTGACAGTGTGACTGGATGAAAAACATCCTCTACATGAACATAAAACATCAGAATAAGAGCTGTGTTTATGATGAATCAGTCTGACAGGCCTGTGGAGATGTCAGCTACTGTCCTGAAGTCTGCTGCAGCTGTTTGAATGTCTGTTCAGCAGCCCTGTGACACTCATGCTCCCTCTCACATCGTTATGAAGTCTCACAGTCTAATGTCTTCCTTGTTCAGGCAGCTTGTCACCACATGGAGCCACACTGCACAACACACAACCTACTGTAAGTTCAAACTATAGAAAGCTATGATATTTACTAGTTTCTATAATTATAATACAGTTGACTCTAACTAGAAATTATAGAAATACTCGTGCCTTATATTAAGGTTGTTTATATTCATCTGTTTATATTGTATGTTTTAAATCATGGAAAAACATTCAGTTCATTCTGTAAATACCTGAGGCGGTAATCCAGAAATCGAGACAAACTCCAGCTCCACTCCATTTAGTGCAGTTTCATGTCAGTGTGAATTTTCTGTATGTTATCACTCCTGTGAGAAAGCACACATCGGCAGAATCTGCTGTCTTAAAGCGAAGCCTGTGAAGCATGCTGGTATTTTGTCACCTTGATGAGAAACTAGTGAACTCCAGACATAGACCTTTAAGTGTTTAATAACTTTTAGTTCATCCAATCAGGATACACAGAAGAATTACAGGGTCACAGAAGAGACAACACAAAGATAAAACTGTCAACACCCATTTTTTCTAATGAGGGGAAAGATAATAGAGAGGATGGAAACACCTCGCTGTTTGTTTCACTTTCTTTTCTTTTCTTCTCTTTCTTTTCTTTTCTGTATGATTGAAAATCATCACATGTTTGGAAAGTGAAAACCGGGGGGCCCATATCTTGTAGGCATATAGAAGAATTGGATTGGTAATTGTACTTCCTTGAATGATGTTGCTGTTGAAGAGCGCCCTCCTGTGGTGAAAAGTAGAGTGTACATGCAATTGAAAAGCAGAAAACACAGAAGCCATTTAGTTCATTATTACACTATAACTATTATTGTGTTGATTTGTATGGGAAATTGCAACCCAGTTTTTCCATATTTAATATAGAAACAATTTGCATTGTGCCACAATATGGCACATTAACACAAATACTGTGTCGGGAAAATAATGAATAAATAGCTAAGAAATATGTATTACAGTGAGCTTTATTTATGGTTATCTGTGATTTAAGTGATTAAAATCAGTCCATAGTCAACATCTTAGTTGATGTTATCCGTGGTGGACTGGCTTTATACAGGAATAAATAATGTATGACTTTTAAATTTACCTTTTATTTTGTTCAGTCTATTGGGGAATTTAAAGGGGCGTTTTGACACATAAATGTGTGTTTCTGGCATAATGAGACCTGTAGGCACTGACCCAAACTGAAATCTGGTGACATCCTGACATAGAAATGCTTCGTCACCAAGAAGAAAGGAAGGACTCGTGGACCATTGTACTGCAGAAACGAGTTCCTTACCAGACCAAAAACATTTATTCTAGCGCCTCTGATGGCCTATGTTAGGTATTAACATTGCCATCCACACAACCACAGAAAAAAACGTTGGCCAGCGTCCATTAAATATTTGTGTCCATGGGTCTATAGCTTCAGTGGAGGCCTTTCCAGGATTTACAAAGAGCTTGTTGGGGTCCCAGAAATATTTTAGGTTTTCTAATTTTTTTTAGGCAAATACTATCCAGATATTTTTTTTTCAAAGGCTGATCCTAGCTTTACTGGTCATATGCCTCAGAGCGCATGCGTGACGGTTTCACCTTTTGGTGACCTGTTAATGCATCCTGAAAAAACAATCTTGGACACTACAGCCGCGCAACACTAAAACTTAATTGCATCATGTAAGTTTGCTGTTACTGAAACACACAGTGCTCTTATTTACTTTTTTTTGTCAGCTTTCCATATTTAAAGCTTTAAATTTAGAGTAAAAATGTGTAAAAAAAAAAAAAGTTACCTAGCTATAGTACGACACTTGCTAGCTAAGCAAGCTAATAAACTTGAAAGATTTCCACGTGAAAGTTATTTTTATCCGTTTACATAAATCTATTTGTTTATAGCACGAGACATTAAGTT